AAGTCCCCTGTTAATAGCCTACGGTGACCTTGGCAAGTCTCTGACCCCAGTTCTTGGAGACCAAAAGGAATCACCTGACTTTTTTTTTTTTTTTTTTTGAGACGGAGTTTCGCTTTTGTTACCCAGGCTGGAGTGCAATGGCGCAATCTCGGTTCACTGTTACTCTGCCTCCTGGGTTCAGGCAATTCTGCCTCAGCCTCCTGAGTAGCTGGAATTACAGGCACGTGCCACCGTGCCCAGCTAATTTTTTGTATTTTTAGTAGAGACGGGGTTTCACCATGTTGACCAGGATGGTCTCGATCTGTTGACCTCGTGATCCACCCTCCGCAGCCTCCCAAAGTGCTGGGATTACAGGCTTTAGCCACCGCGCCCAGCCCGACTTTTTTTTTTTTTTTTTGAGTTGGAGTCTCACTTTGTCACCCAGACTGGAGTGCAATGGTGCAGTCTTACCTCAGTACAACTTCTGCCTCTTGGGTTCAAGAGATTCTCCTTCCTCAGCCTCCTGAGTAGATGGGATTGTCAGCATGTTTCACCACGCTTGGCTAATGATTGTATTTTTAATAGAAACAGAATTTTACCATGTTGGTCAGGCTGGTCTCGAACTCCTGACCTCAGGTGATCCGCCTACCTTGGCCTCTCAAAGTGCTGGGATTACAGGCATGAGCCATGGTTCCTAGCCCACCTGACTCTTGATTGGTCACCTACTTCTAGCCTCCTGACTTCCCATCCCTAGCCTGGTCTTTAGTTATCACACACAAGTTCACCAATGACTTATAGCATATCGAGTCAAACTTCACCAAACAGGCTTATCAATAGGGGAGATAACTCAAGCAGAGGGAAACAGAAGAACAAGAGTTCTCAATAACAAAGTGACTAATGTCTCAGAAAATAAGGAAAAAATAGGATTAATTTTTATGGAAACAAGTGAGCAAGAATAGGGAACTGTTTCTTTTATTATTGATATTTATTTTTATGTGCTTTCCTCATGGTTAATACCTGGTCAAAATAACTTTTCACTAGCTGTATGTTCGATATGGAATTAGGAAACTTTCTGAGGTTCTGACATCTGTATCACAGAAGTTTAATTAGTTCATGTCCCTTTGCTCAGTCCCATGGTCAATGAGTAGTTCCAAAGTATGGCATCCTACAGAAGGTTTTCAGATTTCACATCTAAAACTTTTCCAATTTATTCAGCAGATATCTATTACACACCTAATAGATTACACTGTATTCTCTGATATAACAGATTACCTCATAGAATAAAAGTGGGAAGGGGTATAAGAAGGTATGTTTATGTCTTCTTTACTCCAAATTATTATGTTATGAGCCACTCCACAATGCCCAAAGCAATATTAACCTGGTACAACATGCAATAGACTATTTGACTGATTATTCTGCATTTTAATTTTTGCCATTTTCCATGTTTTGGTGCTTTTCTCTTCTAATCAGCTCTTTCCATTGGTAGCATGATAACTGAATGGCGAAAAACTTTTCTAACAAAAATTATTTTTTTTTCTTTTGGACTTTTGTTGCTCTTAACACAGTAACATAATTGAAAGTAATTTAAATAGCTAATTAGATAATGTTGTGGAGTAGTTTCCAGTAATACATTCTCTTTAACAAATTCCCTTAAACAAAGCATCCATCATTTATGGAGTGCAATTTGTCACTTTGTTAATGATGATATAAATGCAATTATACATTCAGTGGAAGAAAGCATACACAAATAAACTCTGGTTCTCCTTAAAAATTACCATATCCATAACTTTTGAATAATTCTTACAAGTCCAAAAGATACATGGAAAATTTGAACCTCAACATTTTAATTGACTTTGCAAGTATCTAGCGTCTGGTTCTTAATCATATTTTTAACATTGAAGACTCAGATTAAAGCTATGGGAATGTTTTGACAAAACTGACCCATGAGTTTAATGAACCAAATTTCACACTTAGTGAAAAAAAAAAAATGCTTTTTGCTTTTCTGTTTCTTTGTTAAATTAACCTTTTTTAAAAAAATTTAATTGACTAATTAAGTCAGCATACTATACCTAGATGAATTCAATGTTTTGAAGCCATTTCAATGTATTCTTTTTTGTAAAATGTTTATAAAAGTTAATAAATGTATAAAAGTTGACTCTAAAACGTTCTGCAAATTCTATATTAAGGTCCGTTTTTGAAAACAAAAACAGAAACACCTTCATGCTTCCATCTAAACTGACCAAGTCTTTTTTAAATTCAATGGTTTTATTATATAAGACTTTAAATACATTAATGAAAATAGAATCTCGGTATGAAAAAGGACGTCAGATTTAAATAACCATTCAGTCTCTGAGTGATAACAAAGAAATTTTTTAAGGGCAATAGGAATGCACATATGAGAAATTCAGTATCTATTGTGAGAGTACGTTGCTAAGTGTTGACACAAGAACAAACTTTAAAAGTAACATTATAACCAACCTCTAATTGTGTTAACTCTCTTCAATCAATGCTGTGGATAAGCTAGATTCTTCTATAGGTGTGTGTGTATGTGTGTGCACCCAAAAAAGAAAGACAGAGAGAGAAACAAATAAAATGTTGAAAACCAACCAGAATTCAATTAACTGTAGTGCAGCTTGAAGAATTTCAAGGGAACTGTTAACAAGTTTTGCCTAGGGTCTATGGTACAGTTATGCTTTTTCAAAAATATCATGCAAATGAGGTAAACACCCACATCACTCCTCAATTTTAAATTATAATTACGTTTCATAAACCAAATCAATATTTTCTCTAAATTTCAAGTGAAAGTATTTATAGTTACGTATTTTCTCTTTTTTTGCCCCTCCCTTTTTTCACCTCCCTGCTTCTCACCTCCCCTCTTTTCACAGTTCATGCTTTGTAAAAATGCCACAAGAGAAACATATTTATTTAAATATATATCTTTTGTGCATGTGCACATTAGTGAGTTAACCAACTATACATGCAAATTTCAGTATCACATATGTTTCTCTATATCTGATTCTCTTAATGTGGAAATCAACATATTTGACAGTTGGTAAACACTTCATTTAAAATTTCAATTACATACTTATAAATGATTTTTTGAGTTATCATAACTTAACATTTGACTCTTTTCCAATAATGTACTGATTATGTTCATAAACTTGGAGTGGGAAACTGTTAAACTTGACAGGAAAAGACATGACATTTTTCTGTATAAAAATTAAAAATAGCTGGGTGCAGTGACTCACGCCTGTACAGTGACTCACGCCTGTACAGTGGCTCACACCTGTAAGCCCAACACTTTGGGAGGCTAGGAAGGTGGATCACCTGAGGTCAGGAGTTTGAGACCGGCCTGACCAACCAGGAGAAACCCTGTCCCTACTAAAAATGTAAAAAAAATTAGTCTGGTGTGGTGGCACATACCTGTAATCCCAGCTACTCAGGAAGCTGAGGCAGGAGAATTGCTTGAACTCATGATGCTGAGGTTGTAGTGAGCCCAGATTGAACCATTGCACTCCAGCCTGGACAAGAGTGAGACTCCATCTCAAAAAAATATATATACACACACACACACACACACACACACACACACACACACACATATATATATACACATATATATGTGAGTGTGCATGTGTCCCACAAACATCTAAAATTAAACATCAAGTTAGAAAAAGAGTATTTCTCATAAATATAAAGGATAAATGTTTAGTTTTTTATACAAAACTTTAATAACAGCAAATTTTCATAAATGTAGGCAAGCCATTCACAAATAAAAGCAATATAAAAGGTAAATAAACATATGACAATATATTCCACTGTACAAGTAAAGTACTGCAAGTTAAAGATATTATAGCATTTTTTATCAAATTGACAAAATTTAAATAAATTGATAATATTTAATTTTTAAATAGAAGGTATTGTTGGTAGAAGTATACATTTTCAAGTTTATTTGAAATCTATTGATATTTGGCAAATTTGAAATGTGTTGCTTTCTTGACTCATCAATTTCATTTTTTAGAAATGTACCATAAAATGTATTTAGATAATTAGGTTTTCTCACAAAGATTACAGCCAAGGTGTGCAGATAGGTTTAGGCTTTCCTGTAATATTATGACACAAAAACACCAAGACCTTTCAAAGTGTCCATGAACATAGGACCAATTAAATAATTTATATATTTAGGATATGTAGCCATTAAAAAGAAAGGAAAGAATATTCAGATATGGAAATATTTCTATCATATATTATTACATTTATAAATGAAATAATATAAAATATTAAACAATATATATAGTGTGATATTACCTGAGTAAAATTACCAGAATAAAATGGAAAAAGCAGTGGGAGAACACACACAATTCTATTTATGTGAAAAAAATTCTAATTGGGAGGTCTCCATAGGGTTAACTAGTTACCTGTTGACATTGTGGGGAAAAGAATGGGGAGGAGCTAAAGGAAAATATAACTTTTCCTCCAAACCAATTTCCATTTTCTTAAATAAATAGCATGCATTAGTTCTACAATGAATTAATAAAGTATTACTTAAAACAATGGAAGTATATTTTAAAATTGAAATAAATTACTTACTAAGTATATTTAAAGTCAACAATAGTGCAGATTTTCAATGATGATTTTGTTATTGAAAAGAGAGAAAAAAAAAAAACACATGCAAGGTTTATCTGTGTATCTGACTGTGTAAACCAGGTGATATTTCTATCTAGTTTTATTCTGGCACACCAGGCCAAGAGTGTAATAGAAAATCGACAGTGCCCTTTTCCATTTATAAGAAAAAAAGCATGATAAACATTTTAAGAAAAAACTGTTTTTGTTAGATTAGAAGAAAAACATTTATAAAGTTCCTGACGTGAAAAACATTCTAGTTTATTTATAATTATGAATCTGAACTGCTTTGTATCTTGGTATTGATTTGCCCCAAACACTGGAAAAGCAAACACATGTAATTTTTCCTTTTTATTTGGTAACAATGGCATCTCTTTTCTTCCTCTTCCTTTCTGCAGCTTTCAGCCGTGCCCCAATTCCGATGGCTGTGGTCCGCAGAGAGCTATCCTGTGAGAGCTATCCTATAGAGCTCCGTTGTCCAGGAACAGACGTCATCATGATAGAAAGTGCCAATTATGGCAGGACTGATGACAAAATTTGTGACTCTGACCCTGCTCAGATGGAGAATATCCGATGTTATCTTCCAGATGCCTATAAGATTATGTCTCAAAGGTATGATACTTCTAATATTATTTTCTTTGTGCATATAACATATTCCTTCAACATGCATCTGTGTTACATATTGAACATAGGAAAATAAACAGTGTTATGTATTTTAGGATACTTTGAAATAGTTTTTCCATGTCTGACTATTCCGTATATCACCAAGATGTTCATTGCAAACATCATTTAAAAAGTATTACAATTTATTCAGTTATTTATTATATTTCATGGTCTGCATAAAAGTGCATGCTATTATTTTGATAGTGTTCTCTAGAACTGAGTTCATTAATGAGATAGTAAATGTATTTTTCATAATTATCAAAAATAGAATTTTCTCTAAAAATTGCAGAAAAATTTTACTGTTAACGATAAGTTTCTAAAAATGTGGGGGATAAAATGGAAAAAGTAAAAATTAATAGATAATTTTATTATCAATCATTAATCAAAATATAGTAAGGCTATTGGTTAAGGATTAATTTTAAAAGTGTTCTTTTGCTAGTCAGCATATGAAATTAATTAATTTAAACATTTGAGCAGTCTAAATATGGCTATATTAACCTTCTATAAATTAAGGTACCATATAATATCAGTGGTAAGAAAAATATTTCTGGTTCTAAAGAGGTTGGTCAATAGGATTGCATATTATATAAGGTTTAAATTATGTTAAAATTTCTTGATAAGTTAGCTAAATATTATGTATCTTTTAGATAATTATTCACTATTGCCATGCTTTCTCAGAAATCAGGGATAAAGTCATTCATTTTCTATAAGCCTTTAGCTATTCAGTTATTTCTTTTCCTTCTATTATTTAAGGACTTCTTTAAATACAGGGAAAACTCTATCTTAGGTAAAACTAAACAAATTGAAGTCTAAAGACAAGTAGATTTCAAGTACAGATCTTAAGTACAAGATTTCTTGTACCTAAGAAAGACTTCCTTATTTTTCACCTTTTATCTTCTTGAAATACAAAATTCTGATGAGTATTTTTGGATGTAATTAATACATTGATAATGAATATCTTAGTTTTATAAATTACTGTTGTATAAATTATCAATATAAATCAATATGTCAGGTTTTTGATGATTAAAGCATTGGTGTGTACTTGAAGGATAATGAAGTCTGGACAAATCTGAGGGCTTTTATTTGTCTGTTAATCAAATGATGGCTCCTGCTAAGGTGAGCATTAATGAGAAATAATAAATTAAAATTAGGGATTTCATTTGATAAAAGTTTGGTTGCATCTTGTTATTATTGTGTGCCTCTATCATTGTTATATGTTTGGCATGCCTCCAGCTATCCTAAATGCTATGCCTGAAAGAGTTCTAATTATTTCATTGTGTGGAGATATTGTAATTGTTTTTTAGGAGTGATTTTGTTTAAGTGGTAAGGAATAGCTACAGTGATTAAATTGTTATTTTAATTTGTTTTAGTTAATCAAACATAAGATTCTATAGAATTCACTTGGGTTGTAGGTTAAGAAGGAAATACTACCCTTCTCTGATTCGTTTTTCACTTAAAATGTAATAGAAGCATTAGCTCTTTCATCTCTATATGATTTTCACTGAAATTGTTTTAATCCTTTTATTGATATTATTAACGGCTCTGAAAATAAGCTTTTAATCTTATAATTATTTCAAAAAAGTGGTTATAATGGACCTTTTGGAGCCTATGAACTATATGAGATGCATACTTAAAGTGACAAATCTGCAGAGTAAAAATGCTTTAAACACCGTTAGTAAATGATTCATGTAAGCCCTCCTGGTGGTTTCACAAGTATGAGTTGTCAGTTACCTGAAATAACTGTGGTTAATTCTCCATGGAAGCAAATTTCTTACTTGCATTAAATGTACTACATTTTTGCTTGTCCAAAGTAAACGTTTTTGATTCTCTGAGAAAAGAAATCGGGTTTTGTTTTGTAAGCTCCCAAGAGATGCAATGACCATGGCCACTTAAGCTGCTTTATAATGAACTTAGTTACACTATCATGCCAACCACAGCATGTTAAATAATGCTAATAATTATTACTTATGATTAGTGGACCTATCACACTAATGATATAAACAGTTTAAATAGATTAATGCTTTTGAACTGAAATAATAATGGAAAGCATGTTTTTTTTTAGGTATGTTAATGCTTTTCTTTTACTTCTAGAAAGAGACTATATCAGAATCTAAACATTTCTAAGCATGTCTTACAGAGAATTATTACTTAGTATAAACAGTATTGATATCAACATATCCTTGTATAACCTTTTAAACAAGCTCATAACTTGCTTCAGCATGATGCAGTAGACAGATGTCCCAGGCAAGGAGAGACATGACATGTCATTGAGGCAGATGTTTGAATACATTGAACAAAGGCATAAATTAAACTATATACTGACATGTAAATTAAAGCTAAGAGTGAAAAATTTGGAAGTTGAATTGAAAGGCTGTAACTCTTGATTTCCATATTTTTCTTCAATGGAGCTATGTAATCTGATATTTGCTGTAGAGAAGACACTTTCTTCATTGCCTTCCAGATTGCGTGTTCTCCAATCACATGTGCTCTCATGCCATTCTGTCCAAGCCCCCAATGTTCCATGCTCTACCTCTGTGTCATTATCCTACCAGAGGACTTGTTAAAACATCACAACAGATTTATTTGTCCTTCTCAGCAACTTATACTTTTACTAAATTGTTATCTACTTTCCTCTTTATCTCATCTAAACATTAACAAACCTGTATTACCATACAGCTGCCTTGTCTACAGCAAATTGTAAGCTTCTAGAAGGCAGACTTCGTATTGAATTGACCAAAAACCAACTTTGGATGTATAAATGAATAACTAAATACGCTCTCTAATTTTGTCATGCCACTTAAAAGCTTTCTTAACTCTATTATTTAAATGATTCCTCCTTCTTTTTGTTTTATATTTATATATTTCAGAGTTTTAAAAAAATATGACACATATCTTTGGATGTCTAAATATGAAAATGACAATTTAGCAACTGGATAACTTTAAAAATTTTACATTTGGCATTCAGCTTAGGTTTCACGTTATCCTTAACTATCAGTGGAAATATTTCAGTTGTAAACCAGCACTTGAAAGTTTACAACATGCAGTTTACCATAACAATTACTTTGGGGTTTGGTGAATGAATAACTCAGTTATATTTCCTCCCCATAAAGCTATATATTTTTTGACAAATAGAAAAACTCAACTGTATCATTTGCTCAGCATTTTACTTTTTACCTCATTTATATTTATTGAAGAGATTAAAGGAGGAAGCTCTTTCAGCTAAATGATATAAGAGAGCATTTCACTGGAGAGGAAATCTTAGTGCTGCTTCTTGAAAGCTGGCTGCATTAGTGGAACCAGAAGAGTCTAAGTGATACTAGCTGTGTAAATGGAAGAACACTAGAAAAGAACACAAGAGCATACGTTTTTTCTGGTAACCTTTTACTCATCCTTGGTTCACAGTTTTTTGTTGTTCTGCTATGGATGTAGCACCATCTATTCTGTCTGAGTTCTCTTCCTAATGTGCTACTACTTGGCGCCAAGCCCCTTTGCCCCATCAAAACCCTCTCTGTATATGAGTTACACATACTGTTAAGAAACCTTAATATTGCTGGATAATACATTACCTTGACGCTATTTCCTTGCTGAAAAACCCAAAAACAACAACAACAAAACTGCCTTTAGAATTCTTCTTATATATTGAACATAATTTTGAATATAATTTATAATGGCATCCTCACACCAGCTTTATAATGACATACCTTTTAAAATAATTGGTATAACAGCCTTATTTTACATATAATTGCCTATTTTTTTTCAAATTGAAAATGCATTTGTGAACAGACATGTGTAGGCCTATCTGTGTATATATGTATGTACTTTTTATTGATGTATAATATGCCTATAGAGCATTCCATATATCATACATGTACAGCTCAATGAATTTTCACAACTTAAGCTCATCCATGTAACTACCACAGATAAGGCAGAAAATGAATGGCACGTCAGAAAGTGCCCCCTTGTGCTCGTCACCAGCCATGTTCCTTCCTCCAAGGATTGCCCTATCCTGACTTCAAAAACTCTAAATTTGTTTTGCCCACTTTGTTATTTTAATAAAAGCCTTCATATAGTAATACTTTTTGTCTGGCTTCTCTCATGTAATGATTTATTTTTCATGTAAATTTGTTGAAGCATTTTTATATACCATGTAATTCACTCATTGCAATTGTACAATGATGATTTTAGTAAACTTAGCAAGTGATACAACCATTGCAATAAATCAGTTTTAGAACATTTTTATCACCACATAAGATTCTGCATGCCAATTACTGTTAATCCCAATTTCCTTCCCCATCCTGTGCAATGTCTAATCTACTTTCTGTCTATATGTTTATCCTTAATGTATTATTTTAAAGCTAAAAAATGAGTATTTAAAATCAAGTTAAATTCAGTGGACTTTTCAGTAGGGACAGTATAGAAGAAATATTGGCAGTTATTTCAGGAGGAATAGAAATAGATACATTGCTTGCATTTAAACTTTCTTAGAATCAAATATCATGAATCTAGAAATTTAAAAAATTATTTCCTTTGAGTTTTCTGTCAAATACAGATAGTAAATGGTCAAAGTAGGAGTATTTTTTTCTATTTAAAGGAGAGATCTAAGTTTTGTTTTAATGTGTTCACATATTACAGTCACATTAAGAACATGCAGAAAAGAGAGGAGAGAGAAGGCTGGGTGCTATGGCTCACACCTGTAATCACAGCCCTTTGGGAAGCTGAGACAGGAGTATTCCTTTATTACAGGAGTTCAAGACCAGCCTGGGTAATTTGTGAGACTCCCATCTCTACAAAAAAAAAAAAAAAAAATTAACTGGACCTGGTCGGGTGAATCTATGGTCCCAGCTACTCTGGGGGGCTGAGGTGACAGGATGGCTTGAGCCCAGAAGGTTGAGGATACAGTGATCTGTGATCTCAACACTGCACTTAGCCTGGGTGACAGAGTGAGACTA